CCTGCCCCACAGGCATCCGCAGGCAGCGCCCCCGGCAGCGTGGAGACGGCGTGCGGTCTTGTCCTTGCACCTGCACCCCCGCTTCGGGGACGATGTCGCCACCAATAGGACCGTGTGCCGGAAGCACATTATGTGGGACAGAGAAGCAAGACCTTGTCACTATCCAAAACGTTCTTCCCAGAGACGTCGTCGTCCTCAGATTAAAAAAAAATATTGTTATTGACTTCAGAGCAGAAGGGAGAGGGAGAGAGAAACATCAGTGATGAGAGAGGATCATGGGTCGGCTGCCTCCTGCACGCCCCCCACTGGGGATCGAGCTGCACCCCGGGGCCTGGAGGGGAACCGGGCGCCCTCTGCAGGGTGAGGATCCTGCGTGTTTTCCATCCAGAACCCCAGGTTCTCTGCTCAGTGCTCCTGCTCCCATTCGCGGTCCCGGGAGCTCTGGGCTGAAGTCTGTGTGTTTGCTGGGAGCTCTGGGCTGAAATCCGTGCTGTTTGCCGGGAGCTCTGGGCTGAAATCCGTGCTGTTTGCCGGGAGCTCTGGGCTGAAATCCGTGCTGTTTGCCGGGAGCTCTGGGCCGAAGTCTGTGTGTTTGGCACAGAATGAGCAGGGAAGTGGCTCACGGAGACCACCTCCCTTGTGAAGCTGATGAACGGCATATGGATTCGATGGAGTCATTTGCTATGAACATGTTTGTTTGTTTTGTTTTGTTTCTCCCTAAATGAAAGCTACTTATTATTGACTAATTTCTGGGAAAGAAACCCAGAATGCATTGCCGTCGCTGTCGGGGAAGAGCGTCCGTTCCTTGCCCCGGGGACGCTTCTGGCAGCCTCATCCCCGCGGCGTCCCCGGCGCAGCTTCCACGGACGCGCTGGCTCATAAGAGAATGAGTGAGCTCGGGTTGTCACATTTTATTTTATTAAATATATTTTTACTGGTTTCAGAGAAGAAGAGAGAGAAATGAGAGAGAACCATGGATCGACTGCCTCCTGCAGGCCCCACACTGGGGATGGAGCCCGTAGCGTGGGCATGTGCCCTGACCGGGAACCGAACCCTGACCTCCTGGTTCCTAGGTCAATGCTCAACCACTGAGCCACACCGGCCGGGGCAACGTCTTCACATTTTAAAAGACTTTTTCCTTATCAGCTGGAATGAAAGACTCAGTATGCACTTATTCCGGCCGCACGGGCGGGGTAACGCCACCGTGTCCCGGTTCCCCTGGAACTTGTCAGCTGTGTCGTGTCCGTGTGGGTGCCGGCTCCCGCGTGTGTTCCCGTGTTTGGTCGCTAGTGCGGTCATTTCTGCAAGCTCTTTTCAGAGAGCTCCCGGTGAGAGGGAGAGTGCTGTCCTCCTGCAAGCGAGCCCGTTGGCAGAGACCGCGTGGGACCGGGATGCCGCGCTGTTCCGGGAGGTGGCGCGTCTCTTGTGCTGGACCTTCCCCTCCTCCCAGGACTGCGGCCCTCGTGTCACTTCCGTGGACCGTCCAGCTGGGAGTGACATGTTACACGCGTGGGGGCACTGCCTGCTGGGTCACTGTTTCCACGCTGGAGCGGCATCAGAATTGCCCCAGGGCCTTGTTGGCTCACATTGTCCTTGGCTCCCCGCTGAGGGGCCAGGGGTCAGAGGCCTGAGAATTTATAGTTCAGCAGGTCCCCAGGTGAACCCCACTTTGAGAACCACCCCTCCAGACCACTCGCTCCCTGCTCTGAATGTGGGCCCATCACAGGGAGAGAAGGTCTGCTCCGCATAAAGATTTTCCAAGCTCTAGATCAGTGGTTCTCAACCTTCTGGCCCTTTAATACAGTTCCTCATGTTGTGACCCAACCATACAATTATTTTCGTTGCTACTTCATAACTGTAATGTTGCTACTGTTATGAATCGTAATGTAAATATCTGATATGCAGGATGGTCTTAGGCGACCCCTGTGAAAGGGTCGTTCGACCGCCAAAGGGGTTGCGACCCACAGGTTGAGAACCGCTGCTCTAGAGAATTTCCTCCACAGAAAAGTCACCTGAGCCCGGCTGGCGTGGCTCAGTGGTTGAGCATCGACCTAGGAACCAGCGGGTCACAGTTC